AACTGCATTACCTCTACAAAATCAGATGCCAATTGGAGCCAAACCAGCAGCAAATTCTCTTCCATCATTCATTGCAGCCACAGCTGGAACAGTTTGTTCAAAGTGCTCCACAGAACTAAGACACTGTACAGCATATGTTTGCTGCTACCTCCTTCTTCTCACAGGAGGCAGCACATCTTGGTGGCTTGGAATGAGAGCAGAACATGAGTAGCAAGACTGGCAGCCTTGCTTCTACCTGGGACAATGTTACAGTTCTTGTTTTATTCCCTTTGCCACCTGAAACACTACAGGTTCTTGGGAAGGAATGGTGCTGGAACAAAGTGGTTCAGTGAATCCAGAATTAGCCAGAAACCTGCAGGCTTATTCCTTCTCTCCAGGGACAATCCTGTGCTGTAAGACAACTTGCTGCATTCCTGATACATAATGAGCATTTAGTAAGACTGGCAGAAGCAAGTTCTGGATCACCAAAGCCCCATGAACATCATGGTCCACACTATACTTACTCTCTGAACCTCATCATCAATATCAGGAAAACCAGCTTAGTAGGACACAGCCTACCCATCCCAGAACCAGGGATCAGATTTAAGACTGACATGACTTCTCCAAACCAGAGATGCTTTTCCAAAGGTTTTGTGTTTTCAGCCAAAAAAGGTGTAATTTGGCATCTCTCCTTATACCCTGAAAAGTAAAGTGACTTGAAGATAAAAATGCCACTGCTGGAAGGTCTCCTGACACCCAGTCTAAGCTGGCACCCAGATAGGGAGTGGATGAGCTTCTGTGTTAAATACATATTTGTCAAGGTTGATTAAGTCTATGTCATCTGAGAACAGCAGGAACATGTATTTGAGTGTCTCCCCAAGGAAGAAGCTCTCCATCTTATCACGTGGCTCTGGATTACTGGGATTCTGGACATTGTTAATGGAAGTATAACCACCTGTAGGAACCTGTGAAAAAAAAAAAAAAATTTAGAAATTTTTGATGTTTCAATAGTCTAAAATAAATTCTTTTCAGTTGTTAACATCCAGATACAAGAAAATGTAGAGACACTTTGGTAGTCTGCACACAGCTTCTGCATTTTACATTTCAGTCAATGTCAAACAAGTTCCTTCCCTGAATATACTAAGCAGTGTAGCTTAAATTCTAAGGCACTAAATGAACTGAATTTTAATGTGTGTTCTGATTAATTTCCCCATGGGTATGTGATGCCACTTGAAAGACAGTAGATTTCCAAAGCTCTTGTTAGGGACCAAATGAGTGAATAGAATCACGACACAAAAAGGTCATTATAAGCTGACCTTACCCGTGTGTATTTGTTGAAGTTCTGCAAGATTTCCCAGCCCCAGTCTTGGTATTTCTTATCCCCAGTGAATCTGTACATATAAAAAAGGCTTTCCACAGTTTCTGGTCTCAGTAAGTTGTGCCTGTCTGCAGGCTGCAAGAGGAAAAATGAAAGGCAAAAATAATTTGAACAGGGAATCTCCTCAAGACACATGCAGCTGGAAAAACAGTAATTCCCACCTCCATCTACTCCATGCATATTTTTTATTATGCATAACTCAGCTTCTGTACCCCTGTAGTGTACATGGTTAATTAAAAACAAAGGCTAGAGTACACCTAGAAAGCAAGACAGGAGAAGAACAAGCTGTTTCACAACAGACCACATCACCAATATCCAGCTGGGAGTTTCACCAGCAGAACAGATACAGAAGAATCATGAAATAACAGTTCAGACCAACTACCTGCTCACCTTGATCTCCACATCTTTGTGACCCTTTTGTGCATGAAGATTGAAGTGAACAATCTCTGGACTCAGGCCTGTCTCCACTTGAGCATACATCTGGTAACAGGTTTCAATAAGGGCTTCAGCCAGTTTCATATGATCAGCAGTCAAACCATTGTGAGCGCCCAGGGCCAAAGTACCAGGCAAAAAGCAAACCAAGTGATCCTGCAAGACAAGACGACTCTTACTGGGGAAGAATTACACAGCAAACAGGTATTTTTGTGTGTGCCCCTCTGCTCCTCTAGTTGTTTGTCTTTTTTTTCTTTCTCCTCTTTAAAACACATTTCAGGTACCAAGAACTTGAGAGTAACTTGTTAACAACCTGATGTAGCACAAGGCATGCAGCATAAATACAGAGACATCACTGATCTGGAAAATGTACAAGACTGTGTTTTTATGTCAAGTTTATGAAAGAAAGGTCTGTCAGGGTAAGGGGGAAGAAAGTGTACATTTCATATCGACTCACAAAGGGGGGTGGGCAGAATCACCTGAAGGTTTCTCAGTAGAGACACCTAAAGCTACAACAGAAGGGACAAACTCATCATCTGAATTTCATTTTAAACTTAAAATGGAACAGAGACAGGAGTCAGCCACAGAAAAGCTCTGGAGAATGGGGAGAGGTCAGTCAAAGGACATTTTCATAATTCTGAAATAATCAGCTGCAGACATCACTGGGTGCACTGGAACAACTGGAAAATATGACAAAGCTTTCAAGCATTTTTCTGTGCGAAAGCTTGCCCCCTTATTGCAACTTTGTTATTTGGAGTAATAAAAAGCTACTAGCCCTTAGCTCCATGAAGCACCAAAGATGCAGGAGTACCATTTTTCCCACAAATCAGGGCTACAGCTGCCTCCCATGCCCACCACCAATTCTCCTGGACTTCCTCTTTTTTTCACAGCCAGCTGAATACTAGGTACCCCCAACAAAATACCTTTGGTTCTTAGTGTGCATATGGAAGAGGGGCACCTGAGGATGATGGTGTGAAGAG